ATTGATAGATAGATAGATAGATAGATAGATAGATAGATAGAAAAAATGGATAGATAGATAGACGGACGGACAGATAGATAGATAGATAGGTCTTCCTTTGCTCATGCCGTGTGTCTTCTCTCTGTAGGGCACAGTGAGGGACAAAACTGGAATCTTTCCCGAGTCGTTTGTGAACATTATTAAACCTCTTCCCGAGAGTGACTCTGACGAAGAGGGCGGAGCTTCCATGAGCGGGAATCGTGCTCAGAGTTCATACAGCTGCCTGCGCTGCTATCTGCTGCAGCCAGAGGGCATCGACACACACACACACACACACACACACACACACACACACACACATGCACATCGTCAGTTCATCTAAAAACATTATCCTTTTAATCACTATCACATCTATAAACATACAAAAACATCTTAGCAACCACATCACAACACCCTGGCAACCCCCTATTGACTATTTCTCAGCTAATGTGATGCTGTATTTATTGTCTGCTGTAGGGACATTTGTGTTGAGGAAGATCTCTCTATTCAACCGTCTTATGAAGATCTGCTTTCCCAAATGAGGTAATTTATCCCTGTCCTGTTCAGCTCTCTAATCAGGTTGTGCTGTTTGACATGTTGTACGCTCACAATGTGTCTCAGAATGGAAACATAAAAGAAAGCCTCATTAATTGAATATTCTAACATTTAATACTGTTAAAGCGTCTCCTAATCAGTTTATGTTTGTGTTTATTCTGTCATTCCCATCATCAGCATCTTTAATTCTGCTGTTCTTCTCACACTGAGGAGAGCTGGTGTCTCTCTTTAATATTCACACCATGTTTCCTGCCTTAACTCAAGTTAGAGAGGAGACAAAGATGTGGTAGAAAAGAGAGAAAGAACAGAAAAACATCCAGGAGTGAAAGACAGTCTTTTTAAATGTCAGACTTTTCGGTGTGACCAGCAGAAAACATTTTTGTTTTGTACAGTGTAATAATTATGAATTACTTTTCTCAAATTTCTCATGAAGAGAACATCTAGCAGCAATCTCTTTTTGAAAACCTAGACAACATTTTAAGGCAAAAAAGAAAAACAACTGTTTAAGTCATGTTTAAAAGCATAGTTAAATGTAACAATAAGATAACAAAACACATAAATAGACATATGTAAAATGTAAAGACATATGTTAATTTAATATATTTTTTAAATAATTTGACTATATTTCAATTTAACTATATTTAATGTCATCATTAGATTAGCAACATGCTATTAATTTTGAATCCTGTTTTATTTTTCAGATTGTTTTTACAAGCACCAACACCTATATTATATTATATTATATTACATTATATTATATTATATTATATTATATTATATTATATTATATTACATTATTAATG